GCTTATTTTTCCTCACAAATAACACTAGTTGCAAAACATCCTTGACAGTGAAAAAAATCTTTTTTTTTAAAGAAGCTTTGATCTTGCAATCCTAACAGACATAGGGAAATATTTAACAAAACTACTTTTACCTCAGTGACTAAACGATGTAATATGACTCCAAAGCTCAGTAAACATTTTGAATCACTTGAGCATCAGAGCACCTGTTTTAAACAGTTGTTGTTATTTATCCCTGGGACACTCATCATCTGAATTAATCTCTGCTCACTGCATGGATGACAACAGGACACTGCTCTGAATGTTTCTATTTTTGAGCAAACTTGTACACATTTTTTCTTGAAGTGCTGACCATGGCAGGTAGGACAACTTAACTTTTTGAGAATAGCCTCTTTAAATGATCCTTTGCAGGTACCATATCAACATTATTTGAAAACTGGAAGTGGGTAATACCCTATCAAAGTGAATGACAGAAAAATCTACCAGCTGATGCACCACGAGCAAGGGGAACCCTATTAATTACTCCAGGACTATTGATCACGATTCTGCCAAGCACTGCCTTTGGCCATGTCAGGAATTTAGTTGGTAACTTTTTATCAAAACCTCTAAGTATTCAATCTAAAGAATTCAGGTTAGAGCATGCACAGAAACACAGTGCTAGTGAAAGAAGATTCTGTTGCAAAGAAAATTAAAGTAGAAATTAACTATTTTGATAAATTAAGGTAAAAAACCCTGAAGCTATTATTCACCTAGAAAGCTGCAACCACTTCTGCAAATCGGAATGGAGATGAACTAAACTGACACAACCTCAGAAGATTAGTTATCACTCTAGTCTAATACAATTTGGTGTGTTTCCCAATTTTAGTCAAATGAAAACTATAACACTTTTCTACCATCTCCTGCAAAACAAACAGCAATAAGAAGAGACTGATAATCACCACCACAAATAATAAAATTCCCATATAATAAAAGGTGGTGTTTTTTTTAAACATTAAATCTGAGGAAAAGGTTTAAAAAACTATTTAAACATTCTAAACTATCCGCCACCCATTGATCAAAAGCCCTTGTGTTTTACTACACCATTTCACAATTAAATTCCTTTCACCATGCCTTATTGGCCAAGAAGCTTCATGAAAAATGGAAGTGAACCAATGCTCTCCTACAGACTGAAAGACAAACTCAAATATACATGCTTTGAGAATGAAGCATTTAAACATTACAATAACATCTATCATTTACCAAAAGCTTAAATAGAAACATAAGATACTAGGTTATATTGTGCGTCATGAAAAAACATCACACTGTATTTTGTCAAATGCAACAAGAACAGCTCTTCTAAGTTATTTATTAAGAATAATTTCTTCACCTTCTTTCAATATTCAAAAGATGGACTAATAGGTTGTCCTCTTTGATACTCTACTAGAGAAGCAGAGCCAGGAAGCAGTGCTTTCTTTCATTTGACAGGGATTTTAAAACATTTCACAAATCTCCAAGTTTTTAGAGAACATACAAATTTCTTTTAATATAAATAGCATGCAATCAACAAAGCAGTCATGGTTTCGTGCTTAAGCACTGTACCCAAACCCTAAGTGTGTATCCTGTTTTTAAGTACTGTACATTGTCTTAATGTAAAAGTGTTCAAAAGTTCAACCTTTCCATGTGGAATTCAGGAAAGGGGGGGAGGACAACGACAATCAAGACATTCTGTGCAGATGTTGTGCTAAGTCAATCAGGTATTAGGATAAGGTTAATCACATCTCAATAAAAAGCAGCAACTTAAAACCATACGGACCATGAGAGAAGACTCATGAGTCTGATATAGCTTCTTTTCAGAAGAGAAACAGATCAACCTGCCTAAAATAAAACACTCACAAAAAAATGTCATCTGAAGCAATGAAAAGGAGATTCTTTTTGAGAAGTTTGTTAACCAAGTGGAAATAAATACATAAAAAAACAACAAATTAATTACTGAGTAATACTTTATATTGGAACTAGAACAACCAATGCTACAGTTAGACCTCTGAAGGAACTTCCATAAAAACTCATTTCAAGGGAATAAAATTATATGTCAACATGTTTACCTGGGCTGAAAGATAGTTAGCATTCAAACTTAATAATTAGTAAAATTATCATATAAGAGTATACCTTATTCATGAGAAGAGATACTAATTTAATTATAATTAAGGAAAATAAGTTACTCTTCAAAGACTAAAATAATGGAGAATAGTTGACACTGATTCTCCAAAGAGAGGCTGATAATTGAAACCGAACAAAAAAATCTGATGATTTGATTGTAAAACTCAAACAGTAAATGAAAAGTAATTTGTTATGTAAGGTTTGATACCTAAATGTGTATGTGATAGCAAGGTCCTCATTCCAGTACCTTAAAAAAAATACAGTCAAGATTTGCAGCCATGTTTGCAACCACAGTCAGCTCACCATAATTTCTAAAATTGGGCAGCAATCTGTTTTGTCCAAGTGTAGGGTTAATTCCAACCCTAGGGCAATTTTCAAAATACAGTGATAAATTAACATTTGCTAAGTATCATTGGTACTTCACAGGCACAATTAAAAAAAAAATCTCAGACTTCCAATATTTTAATGATTCCTTTCTGCTGCCAGGTGAAATGTCTGGTGGATTCGTAAGAGCAACAGCTTCCCACAGAATTTAGCACAGATGACTAAATGCTTTCACAGCACAGTGAACCTCTCCTATTTTAAGACTTCATTTTTAACTTTGCATTACTGTTCACTACCATATACGACCACGGGCCAAATGTTAGGAATTTGCATTAAGAATGAAAGCATACACAAACTCCTGGAAGCTACCAATGAACTACTGCACCTGAAATGGCATAATATGACACTTTACCTCAAGAAGCAGACTTGTATTTTTACATCACTTAATTGTGAGCCACCTGGACTTATTAAAAAGGGCTAAGAAATCGTCAGCCTCTAAGTTCTCACTATTGCTTAGAGAATTCATCAGCAGAGACTACTATTTCAGCTCATACATGTTATGAAGACAGTCCTTTGTTAACAGACAGAATCAATTAACTTTTTTTTCTTAAGCTTACATTTTACAGTAACCTATTTCTTTACTGGACACCTAAAATATTGTAATATTTTCTTTGATTCCCAAAAATCTAACCAATGATAACACAACTACTCTAACAGTACTCTCAAAGTAGCACTACGATGTGGGATTTACAAACATGGCAATGTAAGAGTTGGCAAATTTCAACCCTTGAATTTAAAGAGGAAAGCAGAACCTAGATCTTGTATAAACCACAGAAAGGATTCTAATATAAAACTACAAACTTCCTCCAGTTACACTTTAATAGAAGAGCCCAATACTTTCAGAGCAACCTAAGCACGTGTTGGCATCACCTACTGGGTCAGGCTTCTCAAAAGGCTTAAGCAAAGGAACCCCTTGTTTCTGGATCTATGTAGATCTTAAACACATACTAACTGCCTGTCAAGACAGAAGCACTTCCAGGCAGACGTGAAAGCACTTTTTCAGAGCTCTAGAAGGCTTTCATGAAAAAATATCATCAACCAAACATTGTGAAACAGAGAGAACACACAGCAACTGAAGGACCAACTTAACGAGGCTTGGCTTAGACATAGCACTTTTCCTCCTTTAAACCTTATTTATATAATCCATATGCATAATTGTGGCATTTAATAATTTATTCTGCATATACAGCATATCAAAATTATTTCTTTACATAAACCCATATTATTTATATTCAAGCAAAGTATTGGGGGGGAGGGGGCGGAGTCCTGAAAAATTAACCCAGAATCTGGTTTGCTCACAGACAGAACACACGCTACGAATGGGCAACTTCCCCCTACACCTTTCTCCCCCATGTTCTTAATTTGACTTGGGCACACCAATATCAAAAGCCGTTTGGACTCCACGACTGACCAATCTCCAGATCCTTGAAAAGCCAATTATCTAAATTAGTAACAACTCCTGTCACTATTTTTGAAGCTGGCACATATCCCTAAGATAGATATTAAATACTCATTTCACATATGCTAAGTTCATCTACACAACCCCAGAGCCAAGAACAGAAAACGTTGGTTGTTCTTTTCTCTTGCCCTACTGCAACAATTTAAGCTTTTTAAAGCTCTCTCTTTCAGGATTTGTTCTGCGAGGTCCTACTTTAAGAACCACTTATGCAATAGCAAAAGAAGCTCATGGTTTCTGTGGACAGAAGCAGCAACAGAGGCCCAGAGATGGCAATCAGTTGTAGGAAGGAGCCAGAGGCTGCAGCTAAGCTCAGGATTTCCTAGAAGCCAAGGGCTTCCTGTTCCTACCAGCCATGCCACCTTGCCAGAGTCTCCTCATTGCTGCTCCATCCCTCTGGATGCCACCTACTTCGGCATCTCCTCCTGGCAGAATCCCCAGCTCTACTTCCACCTGCCAACAATTTTTCCTTCCACCCCGCTACCCTAGCCCATTTGATAACAGTTGTTTTGTTGCCAAAAGAGCAAGACATCTATGTCGCACAAGCTTGCATGAAATGCCAAATGCATCACTGAACACCAGCCATTTCTTGGTAAGCACTACCCCAGGCTACCGTCAAATTCAAAGGTTTGGCTCAACTGGGTTACCTCTAAGCGTACACAGCAGTAGGCAAGTCAAACTAAAGTTTTTTTACATCCTGCGAGCTCAAACTGCAACCGCTGCAGTATCTCCTGCTCAAGCTGGAGATTTGCAATGGTGAAGCAATGGCTAGCACATAATACAGCTGAATAAATCCCCAAATCTAGAAAAAACCCAAGGATGAAGGTTTGTGCATCCTTTTAACAAATGAAGCCATCCAGCAAATAGCATTGTAGCTGTTGATGGAACATCTGGTGAGGTCATCAAAATAACTCCAGCCAGCCACAAATGCTTCCACTCCTCCTCTCAGCAGGTTAATTGTGCAGACACTGGACTTGTTAGGCTTAAACAGAGATACAGAAATACCTTGTCCCCAATATCCATTTACCTTGTCCTGAGGGCCTGCCAGGCTGCATCAATGTCTGCGTACAGGTTTTTCTCAGAGGGCTTGCCGGTGCTCACCCCATAGCCAGAGTAGTCATAAGAGAAGACGTTGCAGTTGATGCGGGAGCCAAGGCCAATGTAGAAGCTGCACATCTGGCCCAGGTCCACAGCATTACCATGTGAGAAGAGCAGTGTGTACCGGCCCGTGGGGGCACAACGTACGAACATGCAGCCCAGCCTGTTATCCCGAGCCGTGCGGGAGAAGAACACTTCCACAGCATCCAGTTCCCGCTGCGAATACTGCCAGTCCGCCCGCTCGCTCAAGTGCAGACTGCAGGTGCCTGATCCCGTCGGGGTCCCTGCCCCGGCTGCCGCCCCAGCCTCCTGCTGCTGCTCGGGCTGCAGCACGGTGTAGGTGGGCTCCGGGGGCAGGAAGGCCAGCTTGGCAGCGATGCGACTGGGGCAAGGCGGGCAGCAGAACAGCCAGCAGAGCTCGCCCAGAGAGAAACCGTTCATTCTGGGGCCTTGTTCTGGCATCAGAGACACCGAAGAAAAAAACTAACCTATACTGGAAAGAAGTCAAACCAAACCGGCTCGGGCTGCAGCACGGTGTAGGTGGGCTCCGGGGGCAGGAAGGCCAGCTTGGCAGCGATGCGACTGGGGCAAGGCGGGCAGCAGAACAGCCAGCAGAGCTCGCCCAGAGAGAAACCGTTCATTCTGGGGCCTTGTTCTGGCATCAGAGACACCGAAGAAAAAAACTAACCTATACTGGAAAGAAGTCAAACCAAACCGCCCCAGAGCCCTCCTCCGACGCAACCTGCACACCTTCCTGCAAGGCTACCGGCTGCTCTCCCAAAATGCAAACACCGACAACCTTGGCGGAACTACAGTTCAGCAAAAGCAGTGCAGCTCTTCAAAGCCTGAAAACGTGCTTATTAAAAAAAAAAACACCACACCAACCCCACAAAATATAAGCGAAGTACAACTAGCCCTTAAAAATCCCACAACTAATGCTACAGTAAATGCAACCCTCTAACACGCCTCCCTAGAGCCCCTCAAAGAAAATAGATCACACGTACATATCCACATTTATAAAATGAATCCCCAGATCCCACAGCTCAGCGCGACGCTCCAGAATTACA